AGCGGGGCGGGGCGGTTTGAATTCGTCGTTGGGCCCCCCAAAATGCCACGGAAAATCCACAAACACATTGTGTGCTAAATTACTAAATCAAAGGGTGGTTCGACCTGGGATTTTCAACGGGTGCGGGTCAGTTTTACCAGGGATTTGCACAATTTCTTGGTACTTGCCTGTGTTGGCGTGTCGATCGCTCATAATTCGCTTTCGGCCAAAACGACATGCAAGCAAACAAAATCGAAAATTCAGCACGAACATTATCGATAAAATTGCCATTAAAGCACCGCCCGACGAACCTTATCGATAGTTTGCATCGCTCTGCGTCGCAACGAAATAAAACGGAAGTCGATTTGGATGATGAATGAAGCCCGATGAAACGGTGCAGATAACCCGGGCCAACTTTTCCCCAATCCAGCCAATCGACTCGACAAGGGTTAACCAAACCAGGCGAATTTTGGGGAAAGCGAAACTGAAGGCACAAAGCTAACATTGGATATGCTATAAATTAGAGTGATAGATTTAAGTTTAGAGATTAGAATTTATCAAAACTACAGCCTTATTATAAGTGCATAATTTTTCTTAGTAATCTGCCGTTCGGTTGAAGAGAAATTTAAATAAATCTATTGTAGTTTGCTTTGCGATCTACATATCGAATGATTTAATCAATTACCAGGCCAACTTTAATCTTTCACTTTTTAACTTTTGCCCTCTTTTCCGTTTCGATTCACATACACACTCGTATTGCAAATAATACAATTAAATAAGTTTACGTGCTTCACGCAATCTGCATACATAACTTGGTCATAGAAGCCACCGCACCACAGTGGCCCGAAACCACAAGCCCAACCGCCGCCACCCACTCAAGGACGGGGGGCAGCGCCTGAAAGTATGTAAGAATTCATAAAACTCCGAGCCAGCGACTGTAAAGTAATCAAATGAGTTCGACTGGAATGGGGGAGCTAAAGCTCTAAAACCCGGTTCAATCATGCAAAGTGGCGACCAACTAGAAAAACCGGAACGGAACAGCCAAACGGGAAGTTGGGGAAAATCAAGAGGGAAATCATTTTTGGGGGGCGGGGGCGGTGTTAGCGGGAGCATGACGAAAATATTGTCAACAAATGAAGTCATTTGCATGCATGACAATTGTTATTGCATATTTCTTGGCGCACGCGCTAATATCGAAATTGACAAAATGCCCCAAAAACCAAAAGCCCGCCTCATCAATTGAACTACCCCTTTGCCATTTATGCTGGATATTCAGCTCCCTTGTCGACAAAAGAATTTATGCCACATAAAAAACTATAAACGTCTATAAAAAATAAAGAAAAAAAAGAAAAGGAGCTGGCAGCAAGGCAATAAAACTGAATTGGCGACAACTCCGGATATATGAGAATATGCTATCTTTATAAAGAGGGAAATCGTCCAAAGAAGCGAGAGATTTAACAGCGCTTTGCGGCTTGTCTGGATTTTTTGTTCGTCCCTTATTTTTGCGGGGGTGAATCGGAAAGGAATCGGAAAGGGTTTAATATACAGTTCCCTGCTCTAAATTGATCTCATACTTACGATGAAGTCATCTTTTTTGGGGCTTGAATATGGAAATGGGAATGTGTTTAGGGAGTGCGGTAAGAATTGCAACTGTGCACATACCGTAATATATATTATAATATTATCTCTGCTTCAATATTCGGCTTCAACTCAAAGTGAAAAAATGCAAACAAAAAAAGTAAAAAGGGAGCTCGTTTTAGGGGTATAATAAAACAACACCAAACACGCCCAAAAGGTGCAGTCGATGTCAGTTGGCTTTTGGCTTTGACATTTGATGAATTACACGCATATAGCAGCGACAACAACAACTAGAATCAACTACACATCTAATTAGACTGGGGACACAATTTTATTGCACACTCACTTTGAGTTCGAAGGTCGGTGGTTGGTGGTCGGTGGTTGTGGAAGTTGGCGGTGCGGGGATTGTGTGTGCTTTACGAGGTGTGTCCCGGCTATTTTTCACACCACTTGCCGTGGCCGTTGTTCCCGCTTCTAATTAATTAATTAGCTTGATGACAAAACAAACGCGCTGCTGATGAGCTCGAAAAAATAAACGTAATGAAATTGGAAAACGTAAACTTCAATGCACGACTAGCTTGCCACTGATACACAAGAATTGTGTTGAACAAAATCAATATTCAAGAATTGAATTTAAAATTCAATTCTTTTCTTCCATAACATTTTAAATATGTAAAATAGGAAAATCAACTACCCACCCTCCGTCCCATTTTTTGTCTCCCACTCGCCGAAGAAGAAAGAAGGAGCACACTCAAGGCCGTTTATCATTTGCGGCTCATAACTTTGTGCAATATGCAGAAGTCGGCGAATAAACCCTCCCCTTTCTTTTCGCCCCCGCCGTGAGGGCGGCATGTGAAAATGAAAGCTGTCAATGAGTTATGTTTGGCGCTATCATAAAATTTGACAGCCCTCCCCCCAATTTCGCCCACCCATTGTCAGCCTCATCGAATTGGTCGCTTGAGTATGCAAATATATTTTCGGAAACGGCGGAAACGAAAGCTCACATTTAAGAAAGTCGATGAAAAGGATTGCTTCTCTAACTCCCTTTCTTTCTAACTATGTCTGAATGTATCGCTTACACTTAACGGAAATTATATGTGGTTACTAAACAGCACAAAAATATTATGATTTAAAATCTTGCTGCGCAGGATCACGATTCACTAATATTAATAATATCACTTGCTTACTAGAATCATTGAAAGTATGGCAACAAGTTCTTTAACCATTTATTTTGTCTAACCGAAAAGTGTAAGACAATAAAATCCAATGCAAGTCTCTGTGTTTACAACTCTGTCAATTGTGTGTGTGTTTTGCATGTGCAATATTCAACAATTTTCGCACTTATTTTTGAGTATTATCGAAAAAGTTTTCCCATCATCGAAGCGTAAAAGGCAATTGGCTAAACCAAGCACGTCCTAGTAGTCACCCTTTTCCCCAGCTTTTCCAAACGTTTTACGTGTCCGATTGTGAATGGGAATATTCATTATGATTACGCTGTGCCAGAAACTCTCTCTTCATATCTCTATGCAAAAGTTTATTGCCAAATTTCGGCTATTTTGTAAAGCATATCGCAAGCGCTAAAACGTGCTGGCACAAAAAGTAGTTTTGTGTTGATATGCGGTATTTTATTTTAAAGTTTTATGGCCAGTATAATTTTATTATTTTTTAAACGAGTAATTTTCTCCAAAAAGTGACAATAAATAATTAGCTACACAATAAAATTGGTTATAAAATCACTTATTTGCATTTGATTCTCTGAATACGTTGTCTCTTAATATGTTTACTTATTTTATGAATTATTCCATCGATACTTAAAAGCTGAAACGGAGTTATTCAAATTGGGCCCGGAGATTTTTGGATTTGAATAATCAGTCCTGGATCCCACCCTTCCAATTACTAGACCTCCGCCCACCTGCTACCAACCCAATCACTCAGCCAACTGTTCATTTTACAGCTTCCCCTTTTCTTTCCTGCCCGGGAGTCGGTTTAACGCTTAAATTAGCCCAAAAAACACTAAGGATCAGAAGATATCCCAACCCACCACCGAACTACCTATAAAAATATTTCAACCATTTTTCCCGGCGTTCTTGACAGCCGCAAACTGTGGATAAAAATGCTTGAAAAATTACCAGAAAAAAATATTCATTTCGCTTTTTCTTTTTTTTTTTTAACTCCGCTTTTCTGATAATTTTTTTGCCGCTGCTTCTTCGTTTGTTAATTTATAAAAAACGCTTAGGGCTTTCGCTTGGGAGGGGGAGTTGGTTCGGGCTGTAGAGTGCAAGGTGAGGCCAAGTGTCGTCTGGTGGGTGGGGAAAAGTGTGTAGTGGGGGGAGAAGGTGCGAGACACGTCTCTCGGTGGTGGAACGAGGAAACTTCAAACGAGATAAATACAATTTCCATTAGGCCTCGCGAAAAGTCCCCTCGAACCACATTCATACTTCTCCTTATCCATTTAGACACACAGTGAAAAATTCCAAAAATGCAAACAAAAAGCATACTTTTACTTAAAAACCAAATTTCAAAGAATTGTTTAGCTTATTTCTTTTGTTCAATTGAATTTATATGATACACAAATGCTTTCATAAAAAATCTATAAAATAATCAACTGTATTATTAATTTTTCAACTTTTTCTTAGTTCAGATCAGCGCATAGCTTTTGGCTAAATATATATATATATTTATATTTGAGAGACATAAGTTCGTCTCGCAGTGCATTCATACAGAAACTTAACGTTTTCAGTTATTTGCGTCCCACCTCCGTTTGAGGTTTTTCCCTATTGATTTTAAGGCTTTTTCACAGTTTTTTCTACACATTTTCCCCCAATTTTTATTTTCATGCATACCCCGTAGCCACAACCACCGATTTTTGGACCTTCTTCGGTCTGTTTTACGTTAATTTTTTAATTGTAAATATTGCCTTGGGTCGAATTTTTCATCTGGACCCGCAGTTGTCCCTTTTTTTTTTTTCCTCCCACCCCCAAAAAGAAACTTCTCTTCAATCTGCCTCAAGGTTCATAATTTTTCACCCCCTCGACCCACGATGTTTACATAATTTGTTCGTTACAACGCGCACACGAAACCCACTTTTTGGGCTACTTTTGTCCGAATTTTTTAATAGATTTCTGCGGTAGGAAATGTGCGCAGTTGTTATTAGGAAGTAGTAGGCGTGGCATGTTCAATTATTTGCTATGGGGAAAAACACTAGGACTCTGTATGGCCATCGTCAGATTTTTCTCGATTATTTTTATGTTGATTGCCGTTTTTATTGCCCGCCAGCTAATTGCAAACTATTGGCTCGTACACACACTGCCCTTATGATACCAATAAAGTAGGGTTATGGAGCCCCTATCTTTGGGGTTTGGGGTATTAGAAATTATGACAGGGCAGGCAGTTTGCGACTTCCCCCCAAATCCTGAAATTTATATAGAGACCAAAGATGGAAGTTTGCTTCTATGCAAGTGTATTTTTGTTAGATAGTGTCTCCACAAATAGATGGCCATAAAGTAGACAATAATAGTGCCGGACACAAAGAGCAGGGACAAGATCCAATATAGTGCTTAGTAGATTGTGGTGGTGCACAGCTCGGTAGTTTGACTTCCTTACATTCCCGAATTCAAAGAATTGGTTTAGTGATGACTTTTGCTTCACCTTTAAATTCCTGCAACATATAAACATTTTTACAGATGAATAATTTTAAAAAAGTGCAGTAATACTCACAATTTTTATCGATATTTTATGGATTTGTTTGCGATTTTGGCTTCTTTAGCGTACGAATAATTTTGAAAAGCTTTGTTTTCCAGTTTTTTTATGTTTGACCGGCTTGTGCGGAATTTACTTAACGTTGTGAACATCCATTTAGTATTTTTCGTAGTGACCAATATAGAAACAATGGCAAGCAACAGTTTAACTATATTTTTGACAGCAGTATTTCCTATTTAGTTAGATGATGACAATCATTAGGCTCTAATGTTTTGAACATCCGTGTAGGCATTTCTTGTGGTGGCTTGACTGTGTATGCGTTTGCTATTTAAATACCGTGCCTTAAATTAAAAAAAAGTATACAGTTTGACGATATTACTTACATCAGTTTGCGTTAATTGTTTAGATGATGACGAGGCTGTTTGACATAACCTTAGCAACAGATTGACGACGGTTAAGTTTTACGATTGATACGTTTTGATCCCACTTACAAAATTCACTTTATGCTTAAAACTAAATTCAAACTTATCACAAAAATGTTGACCGAAAATTTAGATTTTTTTTGTTTGTTTTTGATATTAGCTCCGAAAGGTGTATTAGCTCCGAAAGGTTTTTGTGTACTGAACTTTGAATGAGCTGTTCGCCTTAGGTAGAGCTCGAATTGAAAAGCATGGAGAGTTTGATCGAGAAGTTCAATAGAAAATACAAATATTCCTAATAATTGTCAGGTATTGATATCTGCTTGGTCCATTGTTGTTCAGCCCCTTTTATTTGTAGCACCGATAGGCGTGGCAGGACACATATGTGAAGGTCACGAACCGAAAGTGGAAGGAGCGCAAGACGCCAAAGGCCAAAAACGAAGAAAGCAAGGAGAGAAAGTTGCTTTTGGGCTAATGAAAAAGAAATAAAAGTGTCGAGTGCATTATTGCCGAACACATACCCACATACAGTCACAAATACGAACAGAAGCTCACGAACACACATATGCTTACACCCACGCAATCGCAAACGGAGACACAAACACAGACACAAACACAAGCACATATCATTTTCCGTGGTAATTGTTGAAACATTTTTAGTACTAGTCTGCGTGCTACGTGTCTCTGTCCTTTCTGCCACTCCACCCCCCCATTTTCCCCACCCCACCCACCTCCCACTCCCACTCCCCCTTCCCGTTTTCCACACCACCCTCCTCATTTCGACCGCCGGCTATTATTTTGCACTTACTATAACATGCACATAAATATTTTTTCCTCAGCCCCCCATTTTTCCACACATACGTGTGTATCTCTATGTGTGTGTGTGTGTGCGGCTATTTTATTGATACTAACACCGAAGACCCACACATCCCCATAAAAGGACATTTGAGTGCGGACTTTTCCTTTGGCCCGGCTCGTTTTTATTGTCGCCTTGGCGAATCTCTGTCAAAAAGCAATAATCATCAATTCTGATTCTTTTTTGCTTTTCGCCAAGGACATTGTCGTCCGTTGGTGGCTCGATTTGATATCAAATTGATTATTATTTATGTCGAACGCGGATCGAATTGCCTCTGCCTTCTTTTTCTTGGCTAATTGTCGGTAGGTTGTAACTAGAAATTGGACATATTTTATTACACATATGCGGCCTTATTAAGTATATCCACAATGTAATAATATTTATAGTTACAAAACTATTCTTTCGAAATTCAAAGAACTTAGTTTTTCGTTTGTTTTTTCCCATTTTGTGGCATCAGGAAGCCTTTGCAGTAAACTTTTCATTTCATTACGAACTCGAACGCACGCTGGATGTATATTTCTTAATTACAACATATTTTTTCAAAATTTTCACAACTCAAGCTCGAAAGTGAATATGGCATTATTTGATATTTTGGTCGGTTTCTCTCGCCAGTTTCGCTTCTCGAGTTTCCTTGATGGCAATTTCGGTAAGTTAAGCTCTAGTTCGTGACGAGATGTAACCAGTTTTGGTTTGGCTTTGGTTGGCTTCTCTAAATTACTTAATTTTTATTTCCCGTAGGCGCTCCTTAATCAGCAACTATTAATGCTGCACTTTGCTTATTTACGAGCTCTAAATGACTTCCATTGAGTGTCGTCCGCCTTTTACGTGGGCAGTTACTCTTCCACGTTCCTGCCTTTTCGTACTCTTTGTCCTCCCCTCGCTCGCTCCACCATCTGCATCTTTTGCTTTTGGGTTATTTATTGGGCTTCTGAAGGCCCTCGATGAGTCAGTCAATGGGGAATGGTCAAGAAGGGGGATCTGCATGTGGGTAAATAAATGAAAATCAAGTGTCAAATTTTGTTGAGCCTACTTAAAGTACAAGTATATCTAGTTATCAATGTTTGATGGTAGAAGCAGGTGCACTGATATTACCCCAAACCAATTGTACTCTCAATCGGCCTTCGTCTATTTTGCCCACAGTTTGTCACACTTAATTAAAGAAAATTTTAAGCACTTTAGATGTCAATTTGTGCCCACTTTTCACAGTGCCCAATTCGACGACATTTGCCAGTTTGGAAAGCCCCCTCCGCTCGTTTTTCCCCCCATTTTTCCAGCCATTTTCAATTGCGTCAAAAGGGGCAGAAATAAAAGTATACGAAAAAAAGGAGAAGAAACGGTTTAATTAAGTTGAAACCCTTTCGTGCGTGCCGGGGCCAGTTGCCTGATGCCAGTTGCCTGATGGCCTGATGGTCTGATGGTCTGATGGCAGTGCCATCCGAGAATATGAGAATCCCGGAACCCACTTTTCAGACCCCCGAGATTCCGATCCAAGTGGCTCAAGTGGCCAAGTGGCGAAGTCAGCAAGAGTCGAGTCGCTCTTTCTCTTTTTCGGTCGAACTTGGGGCGTGTTAATTTCCAAGGTGTTTGCTATTCCAAGCTGTTTCCGTTCTAATATAAAAAATCAGCGTAATTAAAAATCAAATGATTTTTTTCCTCGACTCGGTCCTCAACTCGAAAGTTTCTTTACCCGTCCGACGACAGCGAAATATCTTCATTAATTTTGCTCTTTTGCTGTAAGGACAGCAGCGGGAAATCCTTTGCCGCTGCCGCCGCCGCCGCCTCTATCCTATCCTTTCCAATTCATTCAATGCTGCACAATTTTTAACTCATTAATTGGTGTGGGCAACCCTTTTTCCCTTTTGGTTTCACCCTAGCGTCGTGAAAAATCTGAACGAAAATGTCCTGAAAACGGAGGCAAGTGATTTATTTGTTTAATCCCTTTCATTTTCGACCGATTTCTTTTCACTTATTTTTTTCTTTGGCCCGGCCACTTGAAATGTTGCTGATTAGAGAAAAGAGCAGAAGACAGGGGCGGGCAGTGCTGAAAAAGGCAAATAAATTGGAAGAGGGTTAGGTCTCAATCTAGAAATTAGACGAGCTTCGTTTCTTAGCGTTTATTAACAGTTGGCAGCAATATTTCTTAAGAAGTATTAATTAAGTAGGGAATCAATATGCCCACTTAATTCCCTACCAACATTCGCAATACCCTTACTCGAACTCTGCTCGCTTAATTGATTCGTTATCGATTCGCTCATGTCCCATCAATATGGCTAAAAGTGAAAAGGAGGAGAATCCAAAGAGAAGAAGTCGAAGGAGAAGGGGGATCGACAGACGTTGAGCGACCAATGCGACTGGCAACTTGTTTAGCTGATTTTAATCCGCATTCGATACGGTAACAATTTTTACTTCATCACTCTGCCGGCAACCGAATGGCCATCTCTTCATCGGCCACATCTGAATCTGAATCCGAATCTGAATCTGAAGCTGAAGCTGAATCTGAATCTGGTGGCTTCCACCACACCAATCAAGGAACCTCGAGGGGCAGGAGACGAGCTTTTGACATTCGCATAACTTCCGATTTAATCCCAGCGCGTGAACGTCGTTGTCGTCGTCCTCGTCGTCGTCGATCCCCATGTTCCAATTCCATGAGCGGCGGTTCCAGCTTCACAACTACACTTCGATAATTGCTATCCACTTTTGGGATATTATCAAAGACGAACCTTAAGGTTTAAATCAATATGATTTGGTGATTCAACAAGCAGATGCTAAAATCTATATTAAATAAATGTTATTTTAAGGATCATTTATTTGATTAACTTGTTTTTCGCAGTGATCTACCAGTTCTCGGTTCGCAGTGCCACATTCTCCATCGGCTGAGTTATGCGCTTCTGTGCGTTGTCGTATTTTGTAAGCTTTTACGCGCCGGCTACCAAGAGCATCAAACCCAACTAAACCGAACCAATCCGATCCCATAGTGTAGTCTTCCTCCTTTTTTTTTTTTCTCATTTCGTCCCAATCCCCCGATCCGATCCAATACGATACGATACGATACGATCCTCGATTTCCGAGGCGCAGCAGCGTCGTTGAAGCGATAAAAGATCAATTTAGTTGCGCCACAGTCGCCGCTGATTTAAATCCGATCATTGCGCGACGATTTGATGCGAACTGAAACATGCACAAGGAATTTGCAATTATCGAACTTCAAAGGCCCTCCATCCACGGCAGCTCTCTTGTTTTTCTCGTTTTTGTGCTGGTCATCTTACAAATTTGATCCCGGCTTGGGAATCACTGGGCTGATTATTAGGTGTGAGGATATTTAATAGCGAAGACACCAGTTGGGATTCCCATGCAATTGATAGATTCTTCTGGTCATTAAGTAGTTATATGAATAGCCATATGAGCTATCCTGTACTTTTTTTTTTTTTGCTGTTGGTTAAATAACTTTTAATTGAGAATGGGACAAAATACTGGTTTCGGTTTGGGTTAAGCTAGCAGCTCGAGAAATCAAATAGCAAAGAACTACAAATTACATGCCAAAATGCACTTCAATACAAAGCACTTGGGTAAACACCAGCAGACAGGCGGGATGGCGAACTCAGGATGTTGGTTGTTGGGAAAGGGGGTGAAGAACACACACCTGTGGGCCGCTGCGAATTTTCCTGTTTTCCCTTGATTTCCCTTCCCTTCCCTCCCCTTTCCCTCGCTTTTTCTGCCACTGTTCTTTCCCATTGACGATGTAAACCTTAAGGTATTTTGCGATAATTGCACTTTGCTGTTGTTGCTCCCGCTGTCGTTGTTTTTGCTCCTTTTCGTCCTTGCCGAAAAGAGTTTGCCTTGCTACCCTTTGCAAAAATACTTCCCACTTACCGACCCCCCACCCCCACCCACAAAAACTTCGCCCAACCACTTTTCGTAAGTCTGCGCTCAAGATAAACAAAAGACAACTGTTCCACGTGTTTCTATGTGTGTGTGTGTGTGTGTGTGTGTGAGTTGTCTGGCACATGTCTTCGCTTTCCACCCACAACACCGAGTTTCCCGACTACTTTTCAGCTATTAATAAAGTGAAACTTCGAGCCTTGGGTTTCCATATCAACTTGTTTGCCGTAGCCGGTGACGACTGTACTTACTACTTAATTAATTCAAATCTAGCTAATTGCATTTTATTTGCCTTCGCTGTGCAGATCTCAAGTTTTTAATTGCGAATCTCATTTTTCATGCAGAACATCCACACCTCCACATACTGACTTTCAGCTTGAGGTCCAATATTGCCATGTCTTTACCTTTGTTTTCAAGACACAATGGTGGCTTATGGGTACTACTTTCCTAGACAGCTAGTACCTTGTACTACTTACTTAAAGCATATTCTATATTATCTGATTATACCCTTCGTAATGCAGAGGGATTCGTTGGCATTGTCAATCGCATCGTTTTGAGATTGGACTACGTAATCGAGCGGAATGCGAAAGAATTTACTACTTACTGCTACACGGTGATTTTACTAACTTGTATTGCCTTGTCGTTGGGCGGACTCTTTTTAACTTTGATTATGTGTTTGCAAAAGTTTCCGCTTTTGGTGAGTTCAAAAAAAGACGACTCTTTGGCTATCAATTTTTTTTTTTTTTTTTTTTGATCGAAAGCCTTTTCTTCCAATAAAACTGCAGATCACCATATGCACCTGCTACCCGATCTCATTGGGCACGCTAATAAGCCGCCTCGCAAACCCAAGAAGCGCAGATGGGGATCAGGAGGGGAATGAGGATAATGATAATGAGGATGAGGGTGAAGAGGTGGATCCCGATATTTCTGTACCAGATCACTCCACCAATGCTTCTGTGCCAGAGGACATGACCGGTACTTTAAGGCCAGAAGAAATCCCAAATTCTTCGGTGTCGGAGAACATTGACGAAACCTCATACCTGCTTGCTGCAAAGAAACCATATAGTCTGCATTCTGGGCTCTTTTTATCCACGAAAGATGAAGCTGGTTCGCGGATTGTGGGAAATGGACGAGATAATGCTGCCCTACGCGGAAGACCCTCGCCAATACCAACTCTATAAAAAATAGGGATGCAAAATACAAAAAAAAATAATAATAAAAACTAAATGAGATGCGGAAACAGATATTGAACTATCCTAGATCACCAGAAAAATAACTTCCTCTATTGTTTTGTATTGTATTGTATGAGGATCCCAACAATTCCTTTTATTGACACTGGTTAAGCTTGAATGGAGTGGAGCCTAAAGCCGAATACCAATCCCAAAACCCAAAACCCAATCCAGGGACACGTTCCTGCCACCATCATGTTCAATGGCCGCTCAATAGACTCTCTCGGTATCTGCTGATGTAATTTGCTGGCTCTGCCAGCTGTCGCTGCGGTTGGCCGCCTAATGGCCGTCAAAGGAGGCGGAAAGGGGCCACAGGACCCCACTCCCCCTCCCCCCCTCATCCTCCTGCCTTTTGTGACCCCATGGCCACATTCATATGGTGCAGACGCCACGCTATAGAGAGAGATACATCCCCATGGCCTGGGTGACTTTGGATTTCATTAAACGCAAATTTATGCCTTTACTTGAATGTCAAATATTGCGAATGTCAAACGATGAGGCGGCGAGTGGAGAGGCATTGGATGTGGGCTAAGACACTGGGAGAAAAACCATTCAAATAAAAGGAAATAAAAAATTGTCATGAAATGTTCCATAATCTAATCGAGTAATTAACTAACAAATTGTTTTTAAGAATGGAGTTGGAAGTTTTGAAAGAGTTTTCCTAGGATAACTCTTGTTTTAAAGTAGCTATTTTTCTCTAAGTGCAGGACATAGTATAGCACAGAGTCCCGTTAGACAATAGTGTCCCTTCTTGTGGGTAAAGAAGGTGGCCCATCGACGAACCCTGTCTCTGTTGGTTTTTATGCGTTGTTCGTTTTGTAATTAAGCGACGCACTTGGTTGGATTTGGGTTGGGAATGGGAATAGGAATAGGATTTGTAGTTGGAATGGCCAACGGGAGGCGGATGCGAGATGGGCTTTAAATGGAACGGGTCGTCGTCGTGGTCGTATGTACATATAGATATTTAAGTTTCGGTCTGGCAACTGATGGACTCGCATGAATATATTTGCTCTGCTGGTCATCCGGTGACCTTTTTGTCGATGCATCGACTCAAGGCATCCAACATCTAGCCAGCCACCTCTGCCATCTGCCATCTGGCATCTACCATCTACCATCTACTATCTAGTTTGCGGTCAAAGTTGGCGTTTGACATTTATGCCGGATGTCAAGCCGTCCAAAGGAGCAGAAATTCCAAGCCTTCTTGGACCATTGTCATCATCAGTGGTGTCCATTTTGTGCTTGTTATTGTCACTTGCCATGGCCTTAACTCTTCTTTGTCCACTTTTTTGTCTCCGGTTTACCCCGAACAAACTATAGCTATCAATACCGAAGGGGGCTTTCTTCGGTTTGGGGGGAAGCGAGTGGAGTGTTAACCTTTTCCTGGTCCAAGTTATTGTTTGTCTCGTTATAGTTTCTATTCAATCGGGTCGAATAGGGTCGGGTCACTTAGTTGTTGGCTGGCAAATGCACCCCGGAGGGCTTTTTTCATTTTCATTTCCATAGCCATTGCCATTGCCGTTGCCATTTCCATTCGTATTTCGGCTATTTGTGTATTTGACATTTGGCTCAAGTGTTGCTGACTTTTCGGTTAGTTCCTTCTTTTTTACCCATGCCACTTCTTGGCCTTCTGTGGGTTTTGTTTGCCTGTTTTCGTTGTGCTCTTAATTAAACTTTGGTCAACTGTTTAATGCTCAATGGATCGGTCGGCCTTGGGTCATAATGAGAGTTTGATATTGGTTGGGCATTTGGCTCCAAAGGGAATAGTTTCGTTTATAGACACACCCCCACACCCAAAATACATGCATATATTTTTAAGACAAAGAAAAATAGTTTTGTTTTCAATTCAATTCAATCAACATAACTCCCTATATTTATAGAGTGTTTGGTATTTTCAATTAGGAATATGATTCTTAGATTGGCTTGCTCATTATAATGGAAATACATGCGGTTGTTTTTTCTTCAAACATTCATTCCTGGGAGACCTTATGTTGTTTTTGTTTTTTTTTTGTATGCTGTCCACTTCCACTTTTTGCTGGAACCTTTTTACGAGGCTTGGCCCAAAAGAGCATCACGTAGTGAATCACTTAACTTGATTCCATGACCACCCCCCATTTTAGCCATTTTGCCGCCTGATGAGGCTGATGGCACAATTGGGAATCCCCGGCAAACACACAACAAAAGAATACGAGAGACTGAAAATAATTTGCAGTTATTTGGGGCAAGCACGCAAATGCGTTCGAATCAATTGTCCGATAGCACCGATTGTTCAGATTCTGATGGTTAGCCTTCTGTTTCCCTCTCAAATTTTTTACCCTCCTTGTTTTGGCCGCAAAGAAAAAATGCGTTCAAATTGAAATGAAAAGCTCAGCGTGCAACGAATCCCAAATGAGGCAGTTTCAGGGGAGTGGTGAAATTTTCCCGCCAATACTTTCTCAGTTTATGTTTCCTTTTTTACAAATCAGGGGTATATTAGTTTTTAATCGAACTATTTTATATTGTGTACCGTAAGGTAGTGATACGGAATGATTATAAGAATTTCACTACAACTTTAAACTCAATACAAAACTCCATTTAAAATCGTATTTTATATATATATTCCAATAGAAAATAGGTCGAGTTACAGGGTATCCAATGGTTAAAACACTTAGCTCTAACATTATGGTTGGTTTTTTTTTGTGTGCGTGCCGTGTGCGGTTAGAAGGTTTCACTTTCACTTGCTCAGTGCAACTTTCACCCGGGATAAAAAAAAGAGGGCGTGGCGAAGAGGCTGGTCAACTGGCGGCACGTGTCCTTATTTTTTGGGGTATCTTGTTTTTTTTTTTGTTGCTTTTGGCCTATAAATAATTTGTGGCAGGCGCTCAATGAGTTTGCTTTTTTTCTCCAGTGATGTCATTTGTAAATGGCATGTTATCAATTTTCGAGATGATTGAATCAAGTGATTTGTGTGCGTGTCAAAAGGGAGTTGTCCGAGAATTTGGGATTGGGGATATTATATCTAGAATCTCTTTGCCGCCCACACACACACACGTGTCTGGGAAACTCCGTTTGAAGTCGCCCGTTTGTTGGTTTTTCGGCTGAGGAAAAATATTCTTTGGCTGTTTGCCTCTCGGCTTATTAAGAGATTATCAATTTCTTTTGATGCAAGACGCTTATACTATCTATGTGGATGAAAACATGGGAAGGTAATGAGAAAATTGAGCTGGGATAACGAGGCTAATGGCTGGGCGACAGGAAACTAATAGCAGTTCACAGAACAGGGAAAAAATCTGAAAAAAAAAAATAAATGGGGAGAATACCAGAACGACTCGCACACATCCATCACGTTCTTGGTTATTTTTCGAGGAGTTTAGTTTCCGGAATTGACTTGCAGTTTGACTGGCAACAGATGCGACCGACCGTTGTCTCATTGCGAATGCACAAAGACAAAGTTGTCCGGCGGTGCTTAACCCTTTGCAACTAGAGTAGTCCCACACCCTCGGTTAACCCCCTTGGTGTGCCCTTTCTGCATTAAGAAATTAAAATATGCCCTAGAAAAATGCAGGGAAAAAGTGTGTGTGTTTGGTTTGGTTTGGTTGGTGCACATGTGCTGCCAGCTTTTCCCCCACCCCGTTTTTCCCCATTTCCCCATTTCCCCGTTTTCCTTTTCTTCGTTATGCAGCGGTGTTTGCCGCGCGAGTGTTTTGTTATTTTTGCGGAAGTTTTGTAATTGCGGAAACGGCAACTGCTTCAGTTTCAGTCTCAGTTTTAGTCCCAAAACCCCTCTACAGATTGTGCACTTTAAAAAAAGGAGCCTCTCAGAAAAAGCTAGTTATTGAAAAAAAAATCTGATGAAATTAGCTTTGAAGATTTCTTAAAAATCTTATACGTTTTAAAAGCTCATTTGAAGTTTAATTTATTTGTTCTTTTATAAATTTATTTGCATTTTTTTTTCTGTGCAGATCTGACTTTGCTACAGCTCAAGTCTCAGCTCCGATTTCGGCTGCAACACTATATCTCCTCCGAGGGTGTATATGTGTGTGTGTGTGTGCAGGCATCTGTGTGAGCTTGTGTGAAGTATCTGTGTGTGTGTGTGTGTGTGCTGCTCAAGTGTTCGATATGCGGCCCGTCGACAACTTGTTCCTTCGGGTGTTGCTCGGTAGGTAAACTTGCAAAACTTGAAGTTATGGACGCGTAAATTGAAAATACACATGAGAATGCACACATACACGCTCGCTTTTCCCCATCTACCCCCACTCCACTCCACTTTTCCCCGCCCCCTTTTTCCCCTTTTCCCCGTCCCCACCAACAATGCAACGGTTCGTGGAACGCGGTCGCCACATTATTGAAACTATAAATTTCTAAAAGCAATCTTTTGCGGGCAGACAACAACGATGCAGTGCGAAAAAGTGGGCGGCGAGTGGGGGGTAAAATGAAGGGGGTGTGGTGAGTGGGGGAATTCGGGGGTATGGATGGGGGATGGGTTTTTGGCGCTTTTCCACGGGCTTTTGGTGTTTGTATTTGCGTTGTAGTTGTGTGGGCCGCCGGCTGTTAACGCTTGCCACCACGTCGATGTTGTGGTCGAAAAGTTTTCTCATTTCGCATGTGCAGGCGCGTGTACTTGGCCCAGACTCAAGTTGCCGCCCCCTGACCCCTGACCCCTGAACCCAAGCCCAATCCCATACCCACACTTTTAGGCGTCCCGCCTGGAATTAGGCAACTCAAATTTACTCACAAAGAAGAAGGAGAAATGTCAAAAAAAAGGAGGGGTAATTGGCTCTCGAAATTGGCCAACAGGCACCACTTCGATTGGATAGGGATTAATGGAAAAGTATAATACATTGTCAATCTGCAAGGTATTTATAGTGAATTCGTTTGCAAAAGCCAATAATGTATATATTTTTTTAAAATATCGAGTACCATTTTATATTATATTTATATTTATCTTGTAACTGTAAGAACTGCTGAATAAAAGTTTAAAATCACCTAACTTATAGAGTAGCTCACATTTTCTATAAATTTCCAACAGGACTGCCATTGAATTGCCTACCCAATTCATTTCCAATTTGCA